ATAAGTGGGATGAAAAGATGCGGTCCAGAACTGTGGTCCAGGTGAGCTGGGGAAACAACTGAAGAATATGAGTGACCAGGTTTGGAATAACTGAGATGATGTGCCTTGCAGCCAAGTACTGCAGGATGGCTGTCACAAAAGTCTGTTGGAAATCTCAGCATTGACCACCACAGTCATCGGTCTCTTACAGTGATCTCCCATTGCAGCCCAGCTTTAAAGTGCATGATCCAAGCAGCAGAAGGCTCCTTGGTGTTGGTAGCCTCTGTCTGATATTGGGAGATAGATGCTTGGATGCATAATGTAGCCATTGACATTGTGGCTGCAATATCTGCAAGACCGAGTGTGAGGGGTCGGTATTCATTGCCAGAATCCACAGTATCAGAAGGAGATGCAGGAGGAGTATGCAATACAGGCATGGCTAATACAGGAGTATGATGCCAGAAATCACAATCACAATACCAGTTGGTTTGGATGTGAAGATATGAGCCACTGGTTGATGGATAAAATTTTTCAAACTCTGATGTTTGTTCATCCAGACATTTCCCAAGACTAAAATGTTTGGGTTGAAGTAGCTGTTTCATATCATTGGCAAAAAAGTTCATTCATCTCAAGTGTCTATGAACCTGCTCTGCCAGTCTTGAAATGCTGCCTGGGCATCCTGTGCCAGTAATGAATACATTTGGGATTGCCTTCCCAAGTAGCATGAATAACCTGGAAGGTGTTTCACCAATGATTCCTGCATCCTGTCACCCCATTGGGTTGCTTTCCACAAGAAAAAGTTACATGTCCAATCCATCTCCAATTGGACCAATGTCATTTCTTCCTTCCATTGATCCCATAGGGCCTTTGCCTGAAGCCAATGAACTCAGTAAACTTTGGATGGGTCCCATCAGCTGAGCACAAGATATGTCAAGCATGCCTGAACTCACATTCCTCATTCCACAAGTGATCTGGACCCCCCAGGTCCATATCAATGGACCAGAACCAAGCAAGGGACTCATTTCACTGACCTTGAGCATCTGGATTGCCAATGGCAGTGCTGATTTTGAGCTGCTCCTGAAGCAGTGGTTTGTATTTCTGAAGCTGGTCTTGCCCCAGCTCAAGTTGCATCATTTGCTTCTGGGTCTTTGTATATATACTGGCATGGAGGGACACTGCCTGCTGCACCAACATCACCTGGGACCAAGCTCAAATTTTCAGGGCTTGAGATTTGGCCTGCCTAACCATTGTTTGGAACAGGATCACCTTGTTGCACAAGTGAATCCAGAGGTTGTGAAGGGCATCATTGGCCTGCCCTTCATGAAGTGACATCTCCAGTGGAATCAGATCCTCTGCCATACAGTGTCTGCTTTGATCTACCCTGAGGTTTGATGGCAATGGGATGACAGTGAGCTCAGGGGAGTTTGCCCATGTATTAGATGTGTTGGTGAAATCTGCTGGGTCATCATTGAGATCATTGAGAATGTCTACATTCAAGTCATCAGGATCATTGTCTGCATCAAATCCCTCTCCCAGGTGTGTAAGAGCAGACTGAGTGAATCCATCTATCTGGCCTTGGAGATGATCACATTGCTGGGTGATGTCTAATCTCTGTGTCTCTGTAGTTCTTCTTCCAATTCTTCAGAGCTTGACAACCAATGCAATTTGAGCCTCTTCAATTGCCAACCCCATTGATATCCATGTTGCCACTGATCTGTGAGCAGGTGCTGCATCACAGGCATTACCCTCCTCCAGCAGTCTAAGCTTGATCTCCTTTTTGCTTAGTGCTGAGTGCAACAATTAATTCTGACTTCGATGTTGCCAAAGTCAACTTACCCTTCTTGATATTAATCTCATATACATCAATCACCACAGGATCATTTATTCTGCTGGACTGAGTGATCCTCTCACTGGCTAACCATTCTCTCTTTGAAGCTGTGGGTGCTGCTTCATTGAGTCTGTCAAAAGCCTTTTCACTTTCAGCAATGCCATTCTTCGCCTGCTTGTATTTACAGCAAAGAGTCCTTTTCATGTGGATCATCTTGCAGAAATTGGAATCATTCATCTGATAATCAAGACATTCCTTTTGATCTAGGGATGACATTCCCAAAGCAGCAGGGGAAATCAGGTTGAGACATGACCATAGGGTCTCCATGATCTCACCATCAATCTGACTGATGCCTTCAATAGAATTTGACACATATCAGACATAGCAGCTGTCCTGATGTCTGTGGACATGCCACAACCCAATTCCAGGAATGATAGTCAATTCTGGAACCATTTCAAGAAATCAGCTTTGATCCACCCAAACCTGAAAGTGCTTGTTGTATTGACAGTTGATGTCATAGAAGGTGACAGCCCTGGTTATGCCTTCCATGTTGTGCTGGGCAGCCTCACAAAGGGGATAATCCATGTTCATTTGTCTGCAAATGATGCATCATTGACTCATGAATGTAGAATGGCATGGTTGGCTTGCCTTTCACCTTTCTGAAAATCTACCATCAAGTGAGGGACAAAGCAACCATGTCAGGCACAGGCAACTCCCCCAATACCTGTGGACTCCAGCTTGTGCCAAGCTGCATTTGCTTGATTCACCACCTGGTCATTGTTGCAGCTCAATTTTTCCAATGTGTCAGCAGCCTCTGCAAGATGCATTTTATACCTGTCCTTTCCCACCATGAATCCAAACCCATCGGAAAGCCACACTTCATCAAATGGCTTGATGGGATGCAGGTGTTCAGCTTTGAAATTTCTGTCCATAACAAATGACCGGGTGTATTTCCAGCTTGGAGTCATTATTATCACTGAGGTGACTTCAGTATTGAACTAGACTCACTCATCAAGTGGTTCATCCCCTGACAAGGATACATTAATCCCAGGTTGAGGACATGTAGGGCAAAACAATGCAAGATCTCCTGCATTCAGGTTGTTGGAATGATGGCCAAATCCATGCCATTTCATAGCCTTCAACTGCCTCCACTGTCGAGTGACTCTCATGAGCTCTCTGTATCAGTCCTTGCCATGTGCTTTGTCAATGTAATGTCCTTTAGATGTTGGAGATTTGGCATTACCAGAACAAGATGTGGAAACACGCTTGAGGTCATTCACCAGAGCTTGCTGTAATAGTTCATTGCCAAGGTGCCACATTCAAGGTTGTCCAATAGAAAATCATCGAGCACCCTGAAGGTGAACAAAGCCTTCAGCTTGTTAAATGATGTGGGAAAAAACCCATGTCAAAACATTTGAATGTCTGGACTCATGGCATTTGGACAATCACAGCATTGAACCTCAAGGCAATGAACTCCAGACTTGTCAATGATGACCATGGTGTTTTCCTTCAGCTGGAACTCAGGTCCCAACACAGATGGTTGATCTTCAGGCTCAAGCTGGTCTTCATGCTTGTCTTCTTTGAACAAATCCCACCTATCTGTGAGGACTGGACATTGTTTGCCATCATGACTGAGGTGTATGACAAGTCTGACATGAGCGAGACAACTCTGCTCAAAGAATTGACCATTCCATTGACTGATCCAGTGGAAAGGATTGCAATGATGTTGACTCCTGCAACAGCCAGTGCAATATAGTGGCTCCCCAAGACAATCTTGACATTTGTAGACCCCATCCTGGTCACAGATGACGCATCTCCTATCTTCTGGTGGAGCTTCTTGATCCAGGAGGTGATGCAGATATGATTCCTGCCTTGGCAGCCATTGCCTGAGGTTGTCATATGCCATTCTGGACTCTCAACTCTAAATCCACTTCTCTGGATATCCAGATCCAAGATCTGGATCTCAAATGATCTGATCTATCTTTATCTCCCTTCCGGAATCCAAACCCTATATCAGCGCCCAACCCCATTTAGACTGCCCCTGTCTCCAGACTCCAGTTAACCATGTTTCCCTTTTGATTATTGATCCATTACATACATTTCATTTCCAGTGTTCATTATTTGTGATCCATCCTACTTACTAATAGACTCTGCATATGCTTTGTACATAACCTTTATGTTTGCTGACTGATTCCTATATGATACCTACAGTATATAGACCTCCTGTAACTCTCGGAAATACTCCAGTTTGAATATCATCTTAGTTCCTGCTCATTCCTGTGTCCTCCGGACTCGAGATAAGTCTCTTGTCATATTCTGAGTCTTAGGATTGCATCCTAGGCTACATTTCTGACTCTACCTTAAAGGTAGTCCATCCTCTGTTAGTTTCTAGTCCAGACTTTGTCTGGATTAGTCTTATCCACTTGCCCAGGTAACATCCGGACGTCCGTCAGATTTATCTCATGTTTCAGATCCAGATGTCTGTTATCTGCCCTAGTCAAATCCCTGAAACTCCAGATGACTGCTCTAGCCCCTGGAAATTAAGGGCACATACTCGGGAAAGGGGCACAGCATACAAGCTGAGGCCAAGCCCTTGTGATCCGACCCCCTTGAGCACGCAACCTTAACAGAGGTAGTCATTCTGACTCTGCATTTTTTATGCTTAGCCATCATTTGAATGATGATCCAACATTTTACATGAACTTGCCATGGTTTTTGGGAGTTGCAAAGGCTCAAATGACCCTTGGTCATGCTCATAAGCATTGTCAGGAAAGTCTTCCCAAGGAGGTGGTGCCTCAACAGGCTGAAGTGTTGGTGATTCTGGGGGAGAGTTAGGCATGGACCTGTAGGCATGTTGTTTTGTGCTAGCAAGTGGGACCTTGACCCAAGTTTTCCTACCTTTGCTGCCCCTTGCTTCTACCCTATGGGATTTTTGCAGTGGGGTGTATCTACCTATCTTCATCTTATTTTCTAATGTTGCAAGCAAAACATTAGCTCAAGAAGGTCAAATGAATTGTTATTGCAATATGATGTTATGCAATCTTAATGCATCATTACAAATTCATTTCCACTAATGGCATTGCGTCCAATATGGGTCAATTAACCAACTGTTAGGCTTTGCTCAAAGTTCAACTTGTCACCATTATTACTTCTACCTTGCTTATCCTCAGCCCATTCTGCAATCTCATTCACCATGGCAAGATCAGGTCACTCCACTCAGTTGACTTCTGGAAGACATAGGGCACATCAACCACAGACACAGAAGCTCACGGAAAATGGAATTTCAGAGTTAAAGAACTATCTTCCTGAGTGGACTTCGGCAAAACAGAAAGAGAAGTGAGCAGTTTTCACTGCCATAGCTAGGGCTGCCAGGTTATTTGCTCCTAAGGTTAACCAAGCACAATGGGAGAAGAGGAAGCAGGTGATTCATCCTTGCTGTGTTGAAAAACTAAAATTTTAATATCTTATTCTTCCATCAACACTCAGATATACAAGACTTGGTTGTTCAACAACAGGAAAAAGAAGGAAAGGAAGGACATGATAAAGTATGGGAGGAATGGACGCCTAGGATGGTAATCTACCAGTGGAACCAGGAAGAAGTGCTAAAGAGGATCAAGGACAAGTCTGGGGTAAAGCCAGGAGGTCCTGATATGTTCAAGCATTATCAGGCAGCTGTGAAGAGAGTCATGGCTGAATTGTCCAACAACAAGTTGGAGAAGGCAAAGGAAACAGCCAAGGAATGGTCCAACAACTTTCCTCCTCCTGAGATACAGGCACAAGTCACTTGTAAGAAGGGACCTGTGTATATGGAGCACTTTTCAAAGGAGATGTGGAGGCAATGTGGGATGAGAGTGTTTGTGATGTCAGCTTGGAAGAATGAACAGGGAGAGGTGCTGTTCAGGATATAAGTGAATTGTGTCAGTAATTGCAGATCTTCGATCTCAATAGATGTCATGCAGGCACAATGATAATGAGGCATTAGGAGATGGGGACAGCTTCATGAAGATGAAGGACTGGGAGGACATCGAGCTGGTTTGGCAGGAGTATGTGCAGGAACAGTTTGGTGAGTGTTTGAACTCTGGCTACTAGAAGGAATTTGTTGATTGTTATGATGATAGGTGCTGGGGCACAGGATGGAGGACAACAGATAAAGGAAGGTCAAAAAAGAATCAGAAAACCTGCTTTCGAACTGGAAACCAACAGAGATGGGATGCTGTTGCTTCCAGACATCACTGAAATGAAACTCAAGGAGAAGAAGGCCATAGTGAGGGCATTTCTTACATTGCACTATTGTGAGTCTATTGTTGCAACACCCAAGAATTTGTTGAATGCATGGACACAGGGATCTGTTCCAGGAGTGACAAGGCAGTTGTGCCATGGAGTGCCATCATACAAAGTCAGGATGACTTTGTGGCAAGGAAGTATGTTTTGGCAGATGTGGACTTGAAGGAGCCTTCCAAGTTGCAAAATTGGGACACTATGGCCTTACTCAATTTCTGGCATGCTCAGCAGGAGAAAGGTGAAGGACCAACATTCCTGTTCAAAGCATGGAAGAACAAAGATGGAGACATGGTAGCATCGGTTGTGTCTGGGAATTCACCTTCTCATCAGACTTGTAAAGTCAGAAAGCAGATGATCCAAAGGCCTCGGAATTCGTCAACTGACACCAAGAGTGATCCCAGGAGTAATCCCAAGAGTGACTCTCATCACATGGAGGATGATGCTGATGATGATGTAGCCAATGGTAGATCCCTGCAAAAAAGACCCAGAAGAGAGCCAGGTCCTTCAACAGCACATGAAGGGACAGCAGTCCCACATGCAATTCCAAAGCCTTGCCTGGTCAAGCCAGTGAAAACTGGTGCACTGCTGATATCATGAATGGGCAACCTCCTGGCTGGGATGACTGACAGAGTCACTGGCAATGTTGAGGAGGATGTTGGAATGGAATGAGGGCACACATCTCCAGTATCAAAAAACATGCAGGGAAAAAAACCAGTGATTGAGCCATCGGTGAGGACAACCTGGAGTAAGTCAACTCAACAGCCATCAGACAATACCTCTCAAGTGACAAGAGCAAGGGGAAAGAAGTAATTGACTGATACTACACTGCCTGCCTTTATGTACATGTGTCATATCCCATGATCCGGACCCACGTTCCATCATATTCCCACGCCTTCCGAGCCTACGTCCGGACCACACCCCATATCCGACTTATTCCCAGATCCCCTTCTGCTGTGTACTCCACACCTCAGCAGGATCGACTATGCTCCGGATTTACCCCTGAGCTTCGGACCTCCAGATCCTCACTGCTAGCCTGATCCATACAACCCTATCCTGTCCACCCTATGTGCACTCCATCCAGCAAGACATCCAGACTTCACCTCATCTCGGATTCCAGACTATATCCACCTTCTTGTATTCCAGTCCTGTATCCACCTTGTCTTCCAGATCCCCAGATCTCCGGACCTCCGGATATTAACTCCAGACCTATTCCCACCAACTGTCTGATATCCTGCGCCTATCCCCATTTAGGCATTCTCTGCCTTCCAGCTTTCGGTTACCTCTTGTTCTGTCTTGCTTATTGATCCTTGTATGAGTCCTCATCTCCGAGTTCATTTACTTATGTTCTGACTTACTTACTAATGTGTTTCCACATGCTTGTACATAGCCTTGCTCCTTTGCTTACTGATCCCCTCAGATATTGTTCAGTATATAACCCCTGTAGATACTCCTGTAGTTCCTTAGTTTTAATATCAACTTAGACTTGCCCAATCCTCTCTTAGACTTTGGTCCACCTAAGTCTGTCCTACCCATCAGGCCTAGGGATTGATTCCCTAGGCTGGAGCTTTGCCTTTCCGGCACTTACCCTCTTTCCGGACTTAGGTCCAATCCCTGTCTCTCCAACTCTACCTTAGGGTAGTCTACCTCTGTTTGTTTCTACATTGGACTTCATCTGATGTAGCCCCTATTCCTTCCGGACCTCCGGACCTCCTATCCCTCGTACCTCCGGGCATCCTGTCCTTCGGATGTTCCACCCTCCATACCTTCGGATGTTCCACCCTCCATACCTTCGGATGTTCCATCCTCCTAACCCTTGGACATCCTATCCTCCTGTCCTCCTGTCCTCTGGACCTTCGGACCTCCTATCCTTCCATCCTATTTCCTGTAGAAGTATTACCTTGCAGTGGGAACTCTCCTGAGCACTTCCTGCATTCCTCCAGAACTCTCCCGTGCTCCTCTGGATGTTTCCCACGCTCCTCCAGAAGTCCTCTAGCGCTCTCCAGCAGAGTAGCCAGCCTCCAGAAGTCCTCCAGACTTCATTGGACCATCATTGGACCTCATATGAAATGAAGGGCACATACTCGGGTAAGGGGCACAGCGTACGAGCTGAGGCCAAGCCCCTCTGAGCCAGTCTCTCTCCCCCTTGAGCAACATGGTTCTTAACAACATGTCAATGTTATTCAATCTTCATGGCTCAGGTGTTCCCAGGTGTTGAACACAGAAGTTTAAGTCTTGCTTTGGCTCACTGAGTCCCAAGTGTTGAACACCAAAGTTCAATTCTCACTGTACATAGGATTGCCAAGTCCTGAGTTTGATCTTCAAATCGAACTCAGGACTTGGTGATCCTCTGTACAGCAAGAATTGAACTTTGGTGTTCAACACTTGGGACTCAGTGAGCCAAAGCAAGACTTAAACTTCCGTGTTCAACACCCAGGAACACCTGAGCCTCTGGAACTCAATTGGAAATGGAAGAGGAATGCATCACAAATTCAGTTGTTTACATGATGTGGGTATGTTAATGAAAATTCAAAAGTTTACATGTGATTTGAGTACTATAAACATTCGGTACTTTACATTTGAATCTGATCTTCAAACTGATTGATCAGTGAATCTACTACCTTGAGCATTTCAATGCTCATCTGTTGGGCTCTTTGCAACCTCTGGAGGTCTGCATCAGCTCTTCTGAGTTTGTCAGAAGTTTCTGCCCAAGCTATCCAGAAGGGTCACTCAGCCTTGAGTAGCAGTGGAATGGAAGGATCAGGAAGATCCCTGGTATGGTGTTTGTAATCACCAAGTTGATCTTGAATGGATTGCACTTGCAGAAAAATTAGCACAGAGATAAATGATCTGCTTTGTCAGATACTCACACCAGTGTGTTCATATGACCCAAATGGTCAGAACTCCTGGGCCATCGAATGTAAATCTTCATTAGTGAGCTCCAGCTGCTCTGAATGAAGTTCGTTAGAGGTGTCATCCACTTGGGAGATACAATAAGTATCTATAATCCTCTGGAATAAATGGACTCACATGACATAGATGCTTCTGATGCAGCTGGAACATCAATCTTAGGATCGGCAGAATCTGGCAACTCATCCACATCAATGATATCATCCTCAGGCCTGAGGTACAAGTCTGGATCAATGAGAAAACCTGGATGATCAGCTTGAGCTGGAGGTGATTGATCTACAAGGGTTTAGTGAGCATGCATGGTGATCCTTGATCCTAATGAATGGATAAACTCACCAGGTATTGCAGCCAAGACATCCAGTGATCTGGATGACAGAGAATCATATTCTATGTCATCATCCAGCCCTAGGTATAGATCATCTAAGTGATACCTGGTACATAGATAAGGCATGATAAAAATACAACACACCTAGTGATGCCCGAGACACAGTGGACTCATCCACATCCATTGAATTGTAGTTGGTCACCAGAGGGTCATTGAATTGAATGGCTGACTGTGGACTCATGTTGTGTGGGGAACTTACTGATTTGTTGACTGATAATTCCAAAAACTTCGAAGTTCAATACAAAACTGGTGATTGCTGGAAGTTGAACTGGGACCAAACAAAGACAAACAATCAACAATTTTATCAATTGTCCATCAAATGTGTTGTTTCTTTTGAAACTTCATCCTTGTGATAACAGATTTCAACCCCATTTTAAGATCTTTAAATCTCTCAACTCAATCATCATGTCCACTCCAGTTGACAACTCTTTGACTGGTCTCAAGGCATCCACTGCCCAGATCATGGCCATCATCAGTGGTGCCTAGCAGATTCCCCCAGGTAACAGTCACTTTTCTCTGACAACACAGGTCAGTTCACTTGTGGTATGTAGCTTTCTTTTTTCTTTCTTTTTCTCTCTCTAACATCCAGGCAGGCTCAAGTGATCAAGGACTATGGGTCTGGACCCCTGCCTGGCATCATGCTTTTGCACTCCAAGGAGCTATTGTGCATCCAGGGCATGCCTCCCCAGGTCTGGCCCAACTGGCACAACATTAGGTACAACAATCCCCATCTCTTGATGCACATCTGGCACCCCAAGCTCCTCGCCTGGGAGGCCTTAGGTGACCATACCTTTGATCTCCCAGTTGCTGCTCCTCCTTCCACAGGTCCAATTCCAGTGGACCTTCCCTCCCCACCCATCTGCGCTGGCAATGTCACTGGTCCCTGCACTGGCACCACCACTGAGTTCTGGGACAAGGGGAAAGGTAAGGCCATTGATGCTGACCCAGAGCCTGAGGTGGAAGGGAGCTGGAAGAGGAAGTCTCCCATGATTTCAGGACTCTCCTCCCAACCACCAAAGTCTGTGATGAAGACTCGCAAGCGTGTGAAGTCCTCTCACTGGGTGATGTCCAAGCCCCTAGTGGACTTGGAAGATGAGGAAGATGTGGGTATTCAGGTATGTCGTCTTGTTTGTCTTTGACTTGGCTCACATTTTTTTGTAGCCATTTTCAGGTGGAGTGCCAGATGTCATCCTTCCCCGGCTCTCCAATTCACCTAGATCATCCTGGGTTCCAACCAAAAAGCTCTTTGGCCCTGCTACAGTAAGTCACATTAATGTGTCTAGGACTCGGGTGTATGCTCACAATGTACCAGGTGATTGCTGGCAGTCACCCAGCAGTCATCAAGCCCTCCCAGCCGACTCCTGAAAGCCTGGTGGAGGCACCCCCAGTCATCGATGGAGGTGATATTCTCACTCCTGGACCAGTGAGTACTTTGATTTATTTGACAAGTGTCCATTCACTAACACAATCCACTGAACAACCCATGCCAGGTTTGCACCAAGCTAAACTGGGACTGTGCAACTCGGTTGGACAAGAGGACTGGGAATCCATGTATGTTGTGCATCTGCTGCACAACAAAGAAGGTCAAGTGCATCCCAGCAACTATGGGTACCCTGCTGAAACACGTTCATGAATCCTCTACCACCTGGAACACAAGGTCCAGGACACCCTCCAAGGCTCCCTCCAAAGCTCCCCCTGCCTCCCAATCCAAGGCCCAGACTCACAGTCAGTCTCATGGCAAGTCTGGAACTCTGGGTGTCACAGCTGTGACAACCCCCAAGACCCAGATGCATGGTCACAGCAAGACCATCACTGCTGTCAAGGCACCCGCACCTGCACCAGCTTGTAAGTCACCTGAGTTTTTTTTCATCACCATGTGACCTTGATTTTCCCTTGTAGCACTTCTGCCTTCAAGTTCAGCAGTGCCTGCTCCAGCACCCAGCCCAGCAGTCCCTGCTGCAGCACTTGACCTGCCCATGCCAGATCTCCATGCCATGGCAATTGTGATTTGGGATGGTGCAGCTCACACAAACTTGAAACTCATACATTTTGACAACTGTCAAGTTTCAGGTTTTGGGACTTGGTGATTCAAGTCTCAAAACTCAAAACTCAAAACTCAAAACTCAAAACTCAAAATTCAGATATTGGTATGACCTTTGAGTTTCAGGTGTTAGGTTTTGATGTTCAGGTTTTAGGACTCAGTGATTAAAGTCTTGAAACTTAAAACTTGAAATTCAGATATTGGTATGACTTTCAAGTTTCAGGTGTCAGGTTTTGATGGTTGGGACTCAGGACTTGAGACTCAGTGATTTGAGTCTTGAAACTTGAAACTTGAAACTCAAAATTCAGATATTGGTATGACTTTTGAGTATTGAATCACCAAGTCCCAAAGTCCTAGTACTGACACAACTTCGGGTGTCAGCATTCGGTATGTGGAACTCAGTGATTCAAGACTGGAAACTTGACAATCATAAAAATGTTTGAGTTATGAGTTTTGAGTTTTGAAGTTTTGGGTTTTGGGTTTTGATGTTCAGGGTTCAATGTTCAGGTATTGGGACTCGGTACTCGCTGTGTTGACTTTGATCAATGTTGACAGGATCTGAGTCTGAATGTCATTGATGACTCAGATCAAAACTAGTGCAACAGCATTGCTCATATGTCCATATAGTATACCAATACCTTGGCCCATATGTCTAAATGATATGTATCTGGGCCCACCTGTTTATATGACATCCCCCTCTGTTGGCCCATCTATCTATCTAATATACCCTATGTTGGCCCACCCATATATATAATACATATTTCCCTGCCCCATCGGCCCACCTGTCTATCTAATATACCCTATGTTGGCCCACCCATCTATCTAATATAACCCCCACCTCGGCCCACCCATCTATATAATAATATCTACCATACATCTCTCTTCAGCCCAGCTGTCTATAATATATGTCTATCCTACTCTACATATTGCCCAGATGGGCCCACCCATCTCCATCAGTAATAATATTTCTTCCAGCCCATCTGCCATCATTGAGGATATTTATAACATCAGCATAGATGGGCCCACCCATCCCCATTGGAAATAATATCCCTCCCAGCCCACCTGTCAGTATCAAGGATATACATAACATCAGCCCATAGTCCACTGGCCCATCTTATATGGGATATTATGTAGGTCGGGTGACCCATATAATACAGAGTTTGTCACTGAAGGGGCTCTGAGTCTTCGAAGTTGGCAAGCATGACTCACAATGCTGATATCATTGATGGTGTTGGTGTGTATTTTCCTCATGTATTTGAAATTTCTATATGTACTGACCTGGTGGTTGCAGTTCTGCAGTTCTGTGACAACAAAAAGCAGGTCCTATGCAAGGCATGCCTGAAGAAAAATGGCCATTATTGTGTAATGGAGCTGCGTCATGCCAAGAAGCACATTATGTAGGCAATCCACATCCATCATGCTAATTATCTCAAGCAGCAACTAATGAGGCTTCAGTGTCCAGTCCAAGTTGAGCCTAAGGCCTTGCTGGATGATAAGGACACTGACATAACAACCATGGAGCCCACAACTGCCACTGATATCAAATTCTCCTTCAAGGCTGATGACTCCTTCATGGAAGTCACTGTATGTGACTCAGACCTGCCGCTTGTTGACATGCAGCCTGGTGTACCACTGCCTGCAGCACCCATGCCAGAGGACAGGGACCTTGACCTCAGGTTATCAGAGCTTGTGAAAGGCATAATAGGCCATTGGACTCTTGAGCTTGACAAAAAGTGTCCAGATTTATTTGCTGAGCTTCAAACAAGCCTCACTATGGGTGAAATACCATTCTCAACACAACTTTTCTGATCTTCCACCAATGAGGAGCATCAGCTCATCAATGAAGCTAAACCTGATTTTGGGGTTGAGCTCCCTGGTAAGTGCCTCATCATTCCTTCTATGGGGCTATGTATCTAACAATGCTACCAGATGAAATCCTTGACAAGGTGTCCATGAACTTCAAGAATGTCTCAGTAGATAATCCAACTCATCCATGGCTGTCAAAAGCAGTAAGTCTCTCATCCTGTCAGAAAACTAATGCTTACCTTTCATCAAGCATTTTATAACATTGCTTCTTTTCAGCTCTCCACACATCCCATTTTCTGACTCCCAGAAGAGAGCTGTGCTCAACTGGGCCAAAGAGCTTGGTGCTGCCAATGTCCCATCAATTGGTGTGATGAAGAAGTGCCATAATTACCTGGATGAGCTTGTTGGCAATCCAACTCAGAAGATGACATCACATGCTGGTGATGTATTCTATATCAATAACATCACAGAAGCAATCACAAAGGTACATCTAGCATGTCTTTTATGTCCATTCAACAGTGACATTACATTCAGGATTATGCAAATCCACTTACACATTTTGCAATGTGCAATTATCCCAAGGATGGTGGTGAGGGGATGTCACAGGTCTTTAATGGCCAGAAAATGTTATTCGATCTTCTGTCACCACCAGCAGCTTGAGTGGATAGAACTGTGTACTTCACAGATGAACTGTTACAAGATACTTCTGGAGATTACTTCATCCCAGAACATTTTTTCTATGCCTCTTCACCTGTAGACTTAGATGATGACAATGGCAAATCCCACAAGAATTAAGTCATGAAGCCCTTATATGCGCTTGGTCAGTGTTAAGGTCATACTCAAAAGGTAACTGGATCTGAAGGGCTTCAGCCTCAGCTTGTGCGCTGTGCCCCTTACCCAAGTATTGCCCCTTATTTCAGGAAGGCAAGACTAGCACATCTGGAAGGTCGGACAAGTAGCATAACAGATCTGGATGACTTCCAGATGAGGGATAAGTATCGTAAGGCTAATCTGGATGAGTCCAGACTAGAAACTAACAGTAATGGACTGTTGGGGATAGAGGTGGATATGGATAGACTATAGGAATCAATCCTAAGTCTCAGAGGGTGACAAGAGTAGAGGTACTCAAGTCCAGAGGACAGGAATGAGTAGAACTAAGATGATATTCAAACTGAGGTACTACAGAAAGTTACAGGAGGTTATATACTATAGGTATCTAACAGAATGATCAATCAGCAGAGTCTGAGGCTATGTATGAAGCATGTGGATAGTCTATTGGTAAGTAGAAATGGATCACAAATCATGAAATGGAAATGAAACATAGGTAGCAGATAAGGGAGCAGGATGGATATACAGATAACTGAAATACTGGAGTTAGGGGGTTACCGAAAAGAGATGAGTGCTGGTTGTGGATTTGGATGAGTTGTGGACTGGACTGGACGAGTGGACAGATTGAATGACAAGATGTTGGAGGGGGATAAGATGTGGATAGCATCAGAGATAAGATGTGGATCTGAGATGAGATAAGGGTCAGATCTGAGATCCAGATATGCAGATATGACAGTATCCCCCCTTTAGGGCCGATTCCTAGAGGCACAAGATCTGACGATCTGGACCGGACGATATGAGGGTGAGAATCAATGGAGAAGCTGATGGATGGAGTTTGTGAGTTCTGGTTTCCACAGATATATGGATGTCAAAGCATCCTAGGTCTTCCTTCCTTCCCTCACTTTACCCACTCATACTAGCTTCTGAATATCATGTCTGGCAACAAATCCAGTGGTCAGAAATCTGCTAGGGAGACCCTTGTGGAACTTCAGCGCCAGATGGCACTCGTGGAGGCTGCAGCTCAGAGAGAGGAAGAGGAAGAGGAGCAGAAATGTCAGGAAGCAGAGCAGATGCGTCAGGAAGCGGAATGGAAACATGAGGAGGAGAGGAAGCGGATTGAGCAGTCTGAGCTCTGGGTAGCACAGGAAGAGGAGAGGCGGAGGGCTGAGGTGGCCAGGAGGGTGAGTGATACTAACTTTGTCAGATCTGGAACTGAGGGATATGCTAGTCCCAGTCCGCTTCTATGTCCAGAGCTCAGGATGCTCCCTGCACTTGTTGTGTCAGTAAGAAGAAGACATGCTCCTGGGAGGATGCCAAGTCTAATGCACTGGTGAGATAATCCTTGCCTCGGATGTCCGGAACTGGGTGTACTGATATCTGGATAGATCAAGTCTTGTGACATCTGCAGGATTGATAGGGTCTCCTGTCCCAGAAGTGCGGTGTGACAGTCAAGTTTTCCTTGGGCTTAGATTTACTTACTTTACTTACCTTTACCTACCCTCACTTTCTTTAGCTTATGTTCGCATTTTTACTGCTTACTTAAGCATGTATCTCTTTCACTAGTGTCAGTACCAGCCTGAATGACAGTCCCTTTTGATGATAATTTCTGCTCTCTGAGCACTGAGCCAAGTCAGAATCCCATGGGCTGAACATACTGCTCTCCACTCAGCAGCTTGGCCAGCTGAAATATGATTCCCACAGCGGACAAGCCCAGGGAACCGAAGTGGAAGAGGCAGCATGCTGTGGTGACTCTGTCTCTGAAATCCAAGGGTAAGAGATGTCAGAGGAGCCTACCCCTGAGGAACCGGAAGTGGAGGAAGCTTCCAATCTGCGGACCGGAATAGAGACAGATGAGGGGAGTGTGGAGTATGATGACCAGGCCTGAGTTGCTGCTGCCAACAGTGTAGTAGTGGAACTGGCCCAGACCAATGGGCTCCTCCAGGAGAGTATTGGAGCTGCAGAAGGGAGTAGGTTGGTGATGGAGCGGATGAATACTAACATGGAGGACTTCATCCAGCAGCAGAGGGACTTCCAGTCCATCCTCCTGGATGGGATCCGGAACGGATTCTGGATTGCAGACACCTCTACTCCAGATGATGTTGACAAGGATGTTAAGGAGGAGGCTGGAGGATCCGGAGGGGACATGGAGACTGATGGGTGAGGAGCTCCAGATTTCCGCTTCTGCCCCTAATGTACTTGTATCTGATTTTGTACTCATTGTAACGCAATTGGACTGGGTTTGTCTGGATACAAAGAGTGAAATACTGAAACTAGGTCCAATGCATTTCCAAGTTCTGTGGCTAGTAACCAGGATGTCTCTTCGTCCATCCCTTCATATCTGGACCACTGGACGAGGTAGAGAAGCTGACATTGTCATCTCCAGTGGTCCAACTTAGAGTCTAGGATTTCAGA